GGTGTGAGATGGGGCGTGGAGACCCCTGCCTCAAGAGTCCCCTGGGGCGGCTGTGGAAATCCCAATCCCAGGGCCCCCTCCAGCTGGGCATCTCTAAAGACAGAAGCTTCCAGAACCGGCTCTAATGATAACCTCCCCATGCAGTCCTCCCTGCAGGCCCTGGAGTTTCAGATCCACTAGTTAGAGTCGAAGGCTGGTTGTAGGGCTTGCCTTGCTGTGTGCCTTTGGGCAACTCTCTTCCTGGCTCTGTTCCCCTGTTTGCAAAACCTGAAGGTGGAGCAGATCAAAGGCTTTTAATTCCCTTTTTGTGACTGAAGCCTTTCTTTAAATGAAGTTTTTCTCATGCTTGATAAGCAGAGCCCAGCTCATAAAGCTGCCCTCCACCCTCAGTAGGAAAATGGTCTGCTTTCTTCAAACTGTTCCAGGACTGGCTTTTGGGGTAAAGAAAGAAATCTACATGGGTCCTGGGCCCAGGGCAGGGGAGGGACAGACCATCCCAAGAGGACAAACTCATGGCCCACACCAATACCCGCTAGCCTAGAAGGCTGTCTCCAGTAGAGGCCAGTTCTCGGCCTTAGGTGTCCTGCCCACTTGGGAACCCACTGCCTGTTCCCCAGCGCCCCGGGCAGCTCTGGCTGTGCGCAGGGGGGCTGCCCACGAACCTGCAGCTGTCAGGCTGAATTACGGCAGCAGCCTTCAGATAATTCCATCACCTCTAAAGTGATCCCAACGGAACTGCACTGGCCTGTCACACTGGCCAGCTGCGGGGACAGGGCGGGGACTCTGGATCCGATTAGAGGCACCACTCACCCCCCAGCCCCCTCCTTTCTCCTTGCCTGTCTGCCTCCACCCCCAGGCCCAGCACTGAGCTATGGTGGCCGATTACCCGCCCCCCCCCACACACACGCGCACAACCACAGCCCCCAGGAGAGCCGCTCGGTGGCCTCCGACGAGGCTCCTCCCACCTGTCAGTCACAGCTCTTTAGAGGTGAGAGGGAGCAGCGCCCCGTCCGGTTACAGACGCGGAGACGGAGGTCCAGGGAGGGGAGGGGGCTGGCGGGGGCCACACAATGCCAGGGCCAGAGAGGGCAAGGGAGTCAGTGGGTGTGACGGAATGAAAGTAGTCTTCCCTCCAGATGTAGACACCCTGGCAGACCCCCACCCGCCGTCCAGCCGGGAGCGCGGAGATCCGGCTGGGAGGGTGGCGGGGTCGGGCAGGGTGGGTCCGAGCGAACGGGGCCTAAGTCGCCCTGATCGCGCACTACACGTGTCCGTCCAGAGTGTAACTGCAACCAGATCGGCTCCTTGCATGACCGGTGCAACGAGACAGGCTTCTGCGAGTGCCGCGAGGGCGCGGCGGGGCCCAAGTGCGACGACTGCCTCCCCACGCACTACTGGCGCCAGGGCTGCTACCGTGAGTGCGCGCCGCCCCCGCAGGCGGGGCCGGCTGCCGTGGGGCCCCGGGGTGGCGGGGACTGACGCCGGCAAAGGCAGGGTCTGCTGGTGGGCGGGGCCAGGTGGGCGGGGCCTGGGGCGACCTGGTGGGGAGTCGGTCCTTGAAGGGGTTGGAGGCAAAAGCGGAGTTGGGGGTTGGCTAGAGTTGATTGAAGGCTCCGGGAAGTCAGAGAGTTTGCGGGGAGGAGGGGAGGCTGTCCAAAGAAATGCTGGGTGGCGGAGACCCAAGGTGAGCCACGGGAGAGGGTGGAAGGGCGCCCCTGGCACATGGAAGAGCACGTGCAAAGCTCTGGAGGCCGGAGAGCTGGTGCAGCCGAAGTACCTCTCCAAGGCCAGTGCCCCGGGGAGGGGAGAGCCAGGGCTCCGGCGGGAGGGAGGCGGGGGCCAGGTCTCGCCTGGCCTTTGATACCATCCACGCAGGTACGCTTCTTACCAAGTGGGCCCTGAGCCTCCAGCACCCCCTGGGCCAGGCCGCGACGTCCGAGTCGCAGAAGCTCCAGCGTGGGGGCTGGACCGCACCGCCCTTCGCGTTAGCTGCCCCTCCGCCCCGCAGCCAACGTGTGCGACGACGACCAGCTGCTCTGCCAGAACGGCGGCACCTGCGTGCAGAACCAGCGCTGCGCCTGCCCGCGCGGCTACACCGGCGTGCGCTGCGAGCAGCC